ACAGAAACAAAAAGTGGAGACTTCCTTACTACAACATTTTTTACGGGAAAATTCCGATTCCAGTTTCGGGATATTTATAATATAATTATTACATTTAATATAATTGTTATTAATACAGAAAACAATTGATTTCGTTTCGTGATTTTATTTCTTAAATTTAACACAAAACCAAACAAAATTAAAACTGTTATTGTTTTTTAACAATAAATATTTTAAGATGTAAGAAAGAGCATAAAATAAAATTATTCAACACCAATTAGCCAACCATCCTCCTTACAATATCTTTGTAAAGAAGATGTGCACTTCCAATAATCAGTTTTAAAAATATATAGCTTTTTAACTGCCTCGTTGGCGGAGTGGTCGCAACTGCGACTGCCGGGCAAGAGGTGTCGGGTTCGATTTCCGGGTCGGGCAAAGTATTACTAAAAATTATTACTTTAAAAAAATTCTCAGTAGTAACACGGAGTCTGGAATTGTGCCCGGTATATGGCAATAGGCTCCTGGCTCACCCCCTTTTACATGGGACTCGTAACATAAATAGTGAAAAGTGGGGGTTACATTGTACTGTGGCTGCACACCTCTGCCTACCCCATCGGGGATAATAGGCGTGATGATATGTTATGTTATGTTTGTAGCATCTTCCCGCTGCTTCGTCCGCGTCCCCGAGGGATAATACCTACTTTCAAAGTAGTGTATGGGATGTGGTATACCCGACTATAACCTACCTTTGTTCCAAATTATATCTAAATCCGATCAGTAGGTTTTGTGAATAAGAATAAGAAACGTTTATTTGCACGAAGTAGTGTAATTACATGTGATAATAATTATAAAAATAGTCCCTCATGAATCGCCTTCAAGTTAAATGTTTACAATATAAACAATTAATAGGAATTAATTACAAAATGCTCACAACTAGGATAACATATATTATTTCTCCTACAACAACAGCCTATAAATGCCAACTGCTGAGCAAATCCTCTTCTCACACGAAGAAGGTTTGAACATTAATCACCACGCTTGCTCAATACGAGTTGGCGATTACAAACTTATAATTAGAAATTATAAGCGCAGGTTTCCTCACGATGTTTTCCTTCACCGTTTGTCAGTGGTGTCTAAATAATCTTAGAAAGTACTTATAATTCGGAAAAAGTCACATTGGTACTTGCCGTTGTCGTTTTGGTGCGGGTTCGAAACCTCCGGGCCACCACGATATTATTTCTCCTAAAATATTATTATTACTTCTCTCATCATCATCATCATCATCATCAGCCTGTATTCGTCCACTGCTGGACATAGGCCTCTCCTATGGCACGCCACTGAGCTCGGTCTTCAGCTCTTCTCATCCAACCACTGCCAGCCACCTTGCAGATGTCGTCACTCCACCTAGCTGGAGGGCGCCCTACACTGCGTTTGCCCAGTCGCGGTCTCCACTCTAGAACACGTTTACCCCAACGGTTATCGGTTCTTCGACAAATGTGACCGGCCCACTGCCACTTCAGCTTACTGATCCTTTGGGCTATGTCGATAACTTTGGTTCTCTGTCGGATCACTTCGTTTCGGATTCGATCCTTCAAAGAGACTCCGAGCATAGCCCTCTCCATAGCTCGCTGCGCGACCTTAAATTGGTGGACCAGTCGCACTGTCAGTGTCCACGTCTCGGCTCCGTATGTCATTACTGGAAGGACGCACTCGTTGAAGACTTTTGTCTTCAGGCTTTGCGGTATCTGAGACGAGAAGACTTGATTAAGTTTTCTATATGCTGCCCAGCCAAGCTGTATCCTTCTACGGGCCTCCTTTTCGAAGCTGTTCCTACCAAACTGCAGGGTTTGTCCTAGGTAGATGTATTCCTGAACGACTTCGAGAGGCGACCCGTTGAGAACAATTGGCTCCGGAATGACATGTTCATTGAACATTATTTTTGTTTTGTCCAAATTCATCCGGAGCCCAATGCGCGCGGAAGCATCAGCCAGGCTGCACAGCATATATTGCAAGTCCTGAACGGTTTCAGCCACGATGACGATATCATCTGCAAATCTCAAGTGTGAGAGATACTTGCCGTTTATGTTTATGCCCCGTCCTTTCCAATGCAGTGTCTTGAACATATCCTCCATAGCATTTGTGAACAATTTGGGGGATATAACATCCCCTTGTCTCACTCCTCGATGCAGGTGAATAGGTTCAGACTGCTGATTTTGTACTTGGACGGCCATAGTCGCAGCTTCGTACAGTTCTCTCAGCACTTGGATATATCGCCAGTCGACTTGGCACCGTTGTAAGGACTCCAGAACAGACCAGATCTCGATAGAGTCAAAGGCCTTCTCATAGTCCACGAACGCCAAGCATAGAGGCCGATTATACTCCTCGGTCTTCTGTATAATCTGCCTCATCGTGTAAATGTGGTCCATGGTGCCATATCCTCCTCGGAACCCGGCCTGCTCGGGGGGCTGAAACTCATCAAGCCTTCGTGCGAGACGATTCGTGATGACCCTGGAAAACAGCTTATAGATGTGGCTCAAAAGAGAAATAGGACGATAGTTCTTCAAAAGGGTTTTATCTCCCTTTTTGAAGAACATAACGACAATGCTTCTGCTCCACACCCTAGGAGTTCTCCCCGTGAAGAGGACGGAATTAAATATACTTTGGAGCCGCTCGAGAATCGGTTTTCCCCCTGCCTTAAGGAGCTCCGTCGTAATTCCGTCCTCACCGGGGGCTTTTCCATTTTTAAGCTGCCCCAAAGCCACCCCGATTTCGTCTTGGCTGACCTCTGGCAGCTCTTCAGTGAAGTGGCGGACAAGTGTGGCCCTGGGATCCCCCGAGTATGATTGAGGTTGGGGTGCTTGTGACGCATATAGATCACCGTAGAAGCGCTGAACCTCCGCAAGAATCTCCGGCCCAGAAGCGACGACTTTTCCCTCAGATGTAGTCAGCTTCGTCAGATGGCTTCGACCTAGTTGCTGGATGAAAACTTTTGACCCCCGATTTCGCTCGATCGCTTCTTTTATAGCGCGTGTGTTGGAGCACCGAAGGTCACGTCTTACCTGCTTCGAGATCTTTCTATTAAGATCCGACGAAGCGACTGCTGGGTTTTCACGGCGCCTCTTCATCAGCTGCAGAGACTCACCCGAAAGCCCCGCCCTCCTGCCGGTATTTTGCGCCCGCCACATTTTCGTCCCCTCATCTCGGAGTATCCCGACCATTTGGTCGAGTTTTTGGTCAATATCAGCGTCTATTGTGGTTTCCAAGACAGCGAATCGATTTTCCAGTTTGAGCTGGAAGCTTTCGGACCCGACAACAGTTTGGAGCAAATTAGGTCGGAGCGTAGACTTCATAAGACGGGCACGCTCGAATTTGTGTTCGATGTTTAGAGTGCCTCGTACCAGTCGGTGATCACTTCCTGTGTTGAACCTATTGATCACAGAGACATCTCTAAATATTCGCTTTTTGTCCGTCATAATGAAGTCTATCTCATTTTTAGTCATAGTGTCGGGGCTCCGCCACGTCCACTTCCGTTGAGGCTGCTTCTTAAAGAAGGAGTTCATCAAGAATAGCCCCTCCTTCTCCAGGAAGTTGACGAGCATTTGCCCCCTATGGTTCCTGCTACCAAACCCGTGTGGTCCTATTACCGATTCGCCGCTAATATGTACTCCCACTTTTGCGTTAAAGTCCCCCATGACAACGTTGAAGTGGGCCTTTTGGGTGGTATGCAAGGCCCTAGAAATGTCCTCGTACATTTCCTCTACTTCTTCGTCCGTATATGTCGAGGTAGGGGCGTACACTTGGATGACTTTTAGGTTATACCTCTTAGTAAGTTTTATCACAAGGTACGCTACCCTAGTCGACACGCTGGAGATCTCCAAGACGCTGTCTGAGAGGGATTTGTGGACCAAAAACCCGACGCCGCCTTGAGATGGTTGGTCCCCTTCCCTAAAATACATGAGATGGCCAGACTTCAAGGTCACTGTGTCCTCCCCCTGTCTTCGGACTTCAGACAGCCCCAGAATATGCCACCTCATGCTCCCCAGTTCCACCTCGAGCTGAGCCAGGTGTTCTTCGAGCCGTAGCGTGCGTCCGTTGTACGTAGCCAGGGTCAGTTGGTGTTGTCGGCCTTTCGTAGCCCGGGGATTCTTAGCACCCCCTGTCCCGCCGTTACCATGGCCGCCGACTTGGCCAGGAATAGCGGGACGACCGGGAACTAGGGGCCGTTTTTTGAAATGCCGTGCCATATAAGGTAATGCCCATAATCACCACGCTGGGCAGGCGGGTTGGTGATCGCAGGGCGTAGCTCCTCGCACTATTTTATTCATATACTTATTTAGTGACTTACTAAATAACCAACGTACTCAACATTGCACATATTAAACTTTCACTGTCTGATACTCATCTAAGGTAATCTGTGAAAGAGTAACAAACAGTTTAGTTTGTGAGGAAGTCCTCACCCGCAAATTCATCCACGTATAATATGATTCCTATTTTATTCCATTGGAGAATAAGTTTCCTAAATTTTACTTCAATGTCCGTCTGGTACATTAATTTAAAACTTTAGACACGTATTTTTTCTTTTCTCACAAAATTAAATACTTTCGACGATATATTGATTTGAAATATCGTGTGACGTCACAACGTGTCACATTTTGTAGCACGTTATGACGTAACGACCTCCCATTCCTAAACTTAGCTCCATTTTATGTAAGTATTGCAACTTAAGTAATACGAGAAAATAAAAAAATACGCGTCTAATATTTTTCATTATCTAACTGACGGATTATAGATTTTTAATTTTGATACTCTGGAAACTATCCAATTTAATCGGGATAAAAACTATCCTACCTAAGTCAGTCCATACCCTGCCTGTATACCAAATTTCATCAAAATCCGTTCAGTAGTTTCAGCGTGATTGATGGACAAATATTCAAACATCCAAATAAAGAAAATTTCACATTTATAATAATAGTGAAATAGTAGGTAATAAGACAAGTATTTAAGATTTCTTTTGTACGCAGTTCGTTTTCTTCGCCGTGCTGGTGGTAGCCCTGGCCAGGGAGTACCCAGCAGGTGTGCACCCAGCTGTGTGCCCGAACTACCCATACTGTGACGCGGATGCCCTCGCCCGCCACACCCCTGACGGCATGCCCATCCCTCAATGGGGATACCACCCTGGTGTTGCACCAGCTGCTCCTGGGTAAGTTAAGAGTCGACGACTTATTCATCACCATCAATCGATAAGGAGTGGAGTATCTTGCCAGAGTCTGTCTATGTTCTTCAAGTCCTGAGTATATAAGTTGCTTATAGACAGGCATACTCCATCGTTGGCCACATCCACCATCGCTTATCACCAGGCGATAGCTCGGCCTAACGCCGTCCTAAGTACCAAAAAAATACAACCCTTAACAGTCTGCTAATGGACTATAGGCCTCCTCTAAATAGAGGGTTTGCCATGATCTTCACTTGACAGTTCAATTGGAGATGTCAGCTTAAAAATAAAATAAAACTTTAGCATGTCTTCACTTTTTCGTCTCTCTAATTAGTAAGCAGAATATTGGTTACCACCACTTTGTCGATTAAATAAATTTTCACAGTAGAAACTATCGCATTGCATATTAAAAGTAAACTCTTTGTCTTCACAGCCCTGTTCCCGCCGCTCCGAGGTATCCCGCGGACTTCCCCCCAGCGCTCTGCCCCAACTACCCCTACTGCTGGTGAATAACCTATAAAGCAAAAAACCTTTTCCGACGCAACTATATGACAGCTTTACCATCTTAGAAGAATGAAGACGCTGCCAACCTCTTTCGTAGAAACTATCCGAACGCATTTTTAATCTGTGCTTAAGTCATCCATCTGTCACTGTCATGTAGTTTTTGTAATATGTTCGCGCCAAAACTTGTCAAAGCGTCTTCATAAATACCTATATACAACAGAAAATATAAAAAATGACCACTGAAATGTTTTTGAAAAATTGAGAAAAGATATTATTAAAATACTGGCCGGTATCTATAGTAAGTTTTCTCGATTGGTTGAAATTTTGAATTTTAGTGGCCATTTTCGTTTCTAAACTGTTTTTATAATATTGTTTGGGTATTTTTTCAATGGTTACGAAGATTCCAAGCACTGCCATATCGTTTAGAGAATGTAAATAGACGCATTGAATCTTTCGTCTTCGTAAGAGAATGCTTGTTTGCATTTGTATTTGATGTAATTTTGTAAAAACGTGTGTATAAATTGTAAATAAACAAGATTTTTTTATAAAATTTGTTGTTTTTTTGCCTTAATGTTCTAGCCACTTGTTTAAAAACATTTTCTGGGAAAATAAATACACATTTAAAAAAAATACCTAGGTACTTGTTATATTTTTTTTTTATCTAAGTACAGTGGCCATCATATGAACCTACTCCAATCTGTCAAATTTATCCATTGGATTTTCGACTATAATATGGCAGTAGGTAGGTAAAATAAAGTTAAAAAAAGTCAATAAAGTCAAAGCATTTATTTCAATTAAACAATAATTTGGTACTTTTAAAACGTCAACAAATACAAAATAAATAATAGTCTGACAGTCAGTCTGTCAGTGAAGCTAGGTGAAGCTAGATGAAGATGAAATATTTGACTTGAAAAGGATAGGTTGACCTACTGACCACCGTCGGTACTAGATTTCCTAAATAACTTTAGAAAAAATGTATGTTATATATAGGTACATATAACTCGGAAAAAGTCGCAATTCGTCATTGTTTATTCACTATGTCAAAATGTAACTGACGAATAATTAATTTAACCATCGCATGTATTGTATTGAAATACCTGAACGCATTTGGTACTACAAGGACGCGCAACCAAACGGCATGTTCCCGCGCTGTCATTGTGACAGTCGAGCAAATATGGCGGGAGAAAGTTGAGATTGGCTCATTGGCCGAGTGCAATTGCGACTGCCGGGCAAGGGGTCTCGGGTTCGATTCCCGGGTCGGGTAAAGTATTACTGAGGTTTTTTTTTAATTCTCAGTAGTAGTACGGAGTCTGGAATAGGGCTGATGCCGATACGGAGCCGAGGAGGACTGAACGGTTTTTTTTTAAGGGGGGAAAATCATCAAATGACTGCTCCCGCCTGGGTGAGGCGGGAGGGAGTGTCAGACTCTAACTGACTAAAAACCACCCCGTTCCTTCTCCTGCACGTCGAGCCGGAGCCCCGGTTACCCGTTAGGTTCTCCGCGAGTCCGAATCGGCATCGGCCCTATTGGGCCCCATCTGTGGTGGTCTGATGGTTTTTTGAGGCGCGCGCGGAACGCGACGCGCCGTACGCTCGGGTCTGTTTCTGGTCGGACGGGGAGCCACCCATGCTCGCCGTCCGCAGGCCCGCGCTTACGGTGGCCGGAGATCGTGGACTGAACGGGTTACCGGGGCTCCAGCTCGAAGTGCAGGAGTAGGAACGGGGTGGTTGTTAGTCAGTAAGGATTATAATTAATTATAAATAATTGTTAATTAATAAATAAATACTAGTTGTTGCATGTCATGTTGTGTGCACATACTTGTGGAAGCATGGTCTGCCATTTACAGTTTTGTATTGTTACTCTGTTGTGTATTGTGCTGTGTTTCTGTTTTGTGTACCTAATAAATAAATAAAAAATAAAAATAAAAGAGTCTGACACTCTCACCCGCCTCACTCAGGCGGGAGAAGTCATGCAATAATTTTCCCCTGTTAAAAAAATGGTAATATTAGTGTAAAAAAATGATCTATAGATATAGATTATAATTATGTGACTCCTTGATAGGTAGGGCTTGGCAGATCGCTTGTTGGAAGGTCGCAGTGAAAAATGTTCAGAGGTTTATCTCAGACTGTTGTTCCCCAATCTGTTTTTTTTTATGGAATAGGAGGCAAACACGTTAACGGATCACCTGATGGTAAGCGATCAGCGCCGACCATGGACACCCGCAACACCAGAGGAGCCACAGTGCTTTGCCAGCCTTTTAAAAAGGAATACGCTCTAATCTTGAAGGTTTGAAGTATCGTATTCGTATCGGTTCGGAAATATCGCCGACGACAGATGTTTTTTTATAAATGCTATATATATAAATGCAATAATATATGTACCTAGTTCCTTAGGCTCCCCACAGCCTTTTTAGTCGGCTCTAGTCTGAAATGTATTCTACCCTGCTGTCGTTACACAGTTGAAATATTTCACGCATCATTCAACTCGACCTTGCTAGCGATATGTGGGGGCAGGTGGATGGCACTATGTGAGATGGCGGCAGCCAGATATTAATTTATTATCATGGAAGGTATTTGAATAATGGAACAATTATGTGGTTGAATAAGGGGTCTTGTTCAAATATTATGTGATTGGATGGCTAACGAGGGCCGCATCACCTGATGGTAAGCAATCTATGCTGGCTACGGACGCGTGCAATGCCAAAGATTAACCATCTCGTGGGGACAATGGGATTGGGTCAAGTCAAGTCAAGTCAAAGGATTTATTTCAATTAAACCATAATTTGGTACTTTTGAAACGTCAACGTATTTAAAATAAATAATAATTATGTCAGTCAGCCCGTCAGTGAAGCTAGGTGCTCGTTCCAAAATATAGATTCGAATGGAGAACAGCGAACAAGAAACTCCATTCGTTACTCTCAAATATGTTTTACAATCTCTCTAGTAGGGACATTATCAATATGTAAGAACAGTGTAGAGACATGCTCGACGCATTACAGCACTTAACTACTAAAATAAAAAACAAAACAAAAAAGTATCTTCTAGTCTAACATCACATCAACAGCCTATAAATGCCCAATGCTGAGCAAAGCCTCTTCTCACACGGAGAATGTTTGAGCATTAGTCACCACGCTTGCTCAATGCGGGTTGGCGATTACAAACTTATAATTAGAAATTATAAGCCCAGATTTTCTCACGATGCTGTCCTTCACCGTTTGTCAGTGGTGTCTGAATAATCTTAGAAAGTACATATAACTCGGAAAAAGTCACATTGGTACTTGACGTTGGAAGGTTTCGAACCCACACCCTCATGCATGAGAAGCGGGCGTCTTAAACTCGTAGTCTAACATACTGCTTACTTATTCATACTGATAATGACAATCCATAGAAATAGTGGTCCAATACAAGAAAAAAGAAACCTTTGTTTCAATAAAGAAAGAAATGCTCGATGCTATAAGCAAACTAGATTGTCTACATTAAAATTAAAGTAATAAAAATATTAAGTACAAAATATAACAATGTAATTCCGCCATAATTTTTTTTTTTGTTTTTTTTTTATGGCATAAACTGGTAAATGACTGACGACTGACGAGGATCACCTGATAGTAAACAATCGGCGTCGCCCATGGACACCTGGAACACCAGAGGCGCTACAAGTGCATTACCGAGCTTTTGGGGATTAGGAGTTTGAAGATCGTTGGGGATTCAGGAGTTGGGGAGAATGGGGAAGGGGAGGGTAATTGGGCCTCCGGTAACCTCACTCACACGACGAAACACAACGCAAGCGTTGCTTCACGTCGGTTTTCTGTGAGACCATGTTATCAGTCCGGTCGAGCCGGCTCATTCGTGCCGAAGCATGGCTCTCCCATACTTGAGACAACTTTTCAAAAACTATTTTTAACTAATCTTTATGGTTATTAATCCCGTAAAAAAAATATTTTTTACTACTTTATTATTAAAACATAACGTGTTTAAAAATACCTACGTATTTTAAAATTGCCGCGAGAACATCGCGAAACACCACCAACTGTCTAACTAGAGTGCGTGACGTCATACATGGGTAAATAAACAGTGCAAATCCATTAATAATCTTGCCTGTAATCTGTATTGTTGTTTACGTTCTTTGCCGACGTATGACGTCACGCGACATGATTGATGTTTCGATACAGGAACAGATTAAAAATGTTGTAATTATCAAATTTTGATTTTAAATTATAAAACTTTGTTAAATCTCAAAAAAAAAATAGTTAGATAAATATTTTTTTTATGGAATAGGAGGCAAACGAGCAGACGGATAACCTGATGGTAAGCGATCAGCGCCGCCCATGGACACCCGCAACACCGGAGGAGTCACAGGTGCGTTGCCGGCCTTTTAAAAAGGAATACGCTCTTTTCTTGAAGGTTTGAATATTATGCAGATTCTATTTATGTACACTTTATATTTTTTCTTTATTTTATAATAACTATCGTGAGACATACTAAATTAAGTAAAAACGCGGGTTACTCAAGTCAATATACTGAGAAAAGCTCTACTAGTTCAGTGAGCTGCGCGACGTCGTCGCCGCGACCGCGCATGCTGCTCATGAAGAAGAACCCCTCTGTGCTTCGAAACTAGTAGAGCTTTTCGCAGTATATTCACATGAGTAACCCGCGTTTTTACTTAATTTTTCTTTATTGTTGTCTGATCCCCTATTGACCTTTAGTCGAAGTATTCATCCCCTTTTAAAGTCGGCTAGAAACAAAAACAAAACTTCTTGGTTCTCTCTTCACTGCCGCCATTCCACAAAATGTCACATATCAACTGTCGTTAAAATCTGGTCCTACGATCGCTTCCTGAAACATTAAACTTTTTCCAAAACAGTCTTATTTAAACAGATAAATAAAATTGGAGTGTCTGTTTGTAAAATGTATAAAAATAACCGCTTTTTTACTACATGCTTAAGATACACATACCAAAATAACATTTTTTACAACTTTTGTGTCTGTTTGTACTGGCTAATCTCTGGAATGGCTTCACTGGTTTTGACGAGACTTTTTTTAGCAGGTGTACTAAGGAGTAACATAGGCTACTTTTATTTTGGTAAATTGAAACTTTTTTTTTAAATAATAGTTAAGTATGTCGTAAAATTTATTTTCTACGCGGACAAAGTCGCGGGCAACAGCTAGTATGAGAATAAGACAGGTGATTAAGATAAATATACTTGTACTCACATCAATTCTCACTTATTTGGCCTTTTTAAATTAACAGTGTCAAATTAAAATGCCTATGCTTACCTTCCACGGGCGGCGCCGATTGCTTACCATCAGGTGATCCGTCTGCTCGTTTACCGGCTTTTTCTATAAAAAAAAACGAATCACCTGATGACAAGCAATTGGTTACAAATTCGTTACCGGTCTGGTGGGGTTGTGGCAAATGTGACAAATCACCATTTGCATCCAAAAACTCCACACGACCCGCATAGCTAATATCTTATGACTAATATAATGATAGTGACGTGGGTTAAATCCAAATAAATAACACATGGTTGATTAAACAAACAATTTATCAATGAATTTATTTACAGTATAAAGGACACGGTAGCCTGTCTACCATCGGGGATCAGTTCAGGGTGGACCTTATTATAAGGCCTTACTTTTTTCAAACCCTTCTCTTTAGCTTTAGCGACATTATCTTCCATCAGCTGTATGCTATATTGTTCATTCAAAAGTTTTTTCAGAGTTCGCAGTATGGTCGATGACATTTCCTCGCCGTCTGTCATGGCGTCCAGTTTGACAGCGATTTTGGCGCAATTTTCCGATGACATCTGTTAAATGTTATGTCGTTGGTCTGAGCGTGCATCAAAGAGTATAGTATATCTAAGCGTGCATTACTTTTAATACCAAGAACGAGACGATATTTTACAACATAAAATGTCAAAAACGATACTTTTTAATTAATTTTGTGTCTATGACTTATTCTTTAGGACGTCATAACGTTATTATATTAAAAATACAAATCAGTCGGTTAAAAAACCTCACCATAAAAATTTTGGTATGCTTTAAAAGTAAGAAATTATTCTTAAAAGAAGTAAATTTTTTAGAGGTACGCTCCTGGATGATGTAGCAGTAGTTAAAGTCTGAAGCGGTACCTCTGCGGAAGTCTTTATTATAGTCTGTCAAGCGAGTCTAGTCCCATTAAAAAGGCGGCAAATTCAAAAATCTTTCAGGTGTCAACACTGGTATAGCACGCTAAAAACTTATTGATACTTGTCAGGCGTGGTGTACCGCAAGGTAGCGTGCTGGGGCCTATTTTATTCCTGTTGTACATAAACGATGTCGTAAATATCACCAACCATAAATGTGTTCTTTTTGCTGACGACATATCGATTATAGTTGCAACGCGTAAGAACGGAAACACAACAAATGACCACGCGCTTGATGTTAACAACACAATAGATAAATTAATAGATTGGTTAGATAATAATAAATTAAAAATAAATTTGGACAAGTCAGTTTACATACAATTCAATAAATCAAATACTACAAAACATAACATCAACCTAACGATACCAAAAGTTAAAAGAGTAGGTGAAACAAAATTTCTGGGCTTAATTATAGATGAAAATATGAATTGGAAGGACCACGTTGAACATGTATCTGTTAGGGTAAATAAATTTGTGTATGCACTTAAGCAAATAAAAAATATTACAAACTTAAATACAGCAATAATGGCTTATCATGCACATGTAGAATCATTGCTTCGCTATGGCCTAATAATGTGGGGATATAGCACGGATAGGGATAAGGCATTTCTCGCACAAAAAAAGTGCATAAGGGCTATGTACGGTTTGCAACCTGATCAGTCATGCCAACCAATATTTAAGAGACTTGGTTTGTTACCATTACCGTCGCTTTACATTTATGAAGTATGTATGTTCGTTACAAAAAACAAAGATTTATTTAAAACTGCAAATGATGTCAATCCACGAAATCGTAGAGATCCATTTAGACTTGTACTAAATGACTTTCCTAGATCAGCAAAATATAATAAGAATTGCTTGGCTATGTGTATCCGTATCTATAACAATATACCGAATGATTTGAAATGTCTTAATATAAATCTATTTAAGCGTAAATTGCACAAATGGCTTAATGAACAAAACTACTATTCTATAAGTGATTTCATGCAGAGGAAATTAACCTCACGCCTAGGATGTTAATTTTAGAACTTTTCCTGATTTTGCATGCTATATAAATATTAGCAAAACATGTTGTACTTCAACCATATTTTTGTAACACCTATTTTATACCATGTTTTAAGCAAATAAATATATTATTATTATTATTATTATTATTATTGTATTTTAGATAAAAAACACTTATTTGAAATAAATAAAAAAAAAACAATAAGTTTTCAGCGTGCGCAGACTTTATTCTGGCACGTTAGAGATTGCGGCTCAAAAGGGTCAGGTTTACCAGGGAATACTACTGCCCTCTGTTACATGTGTATATAGTTCCATACCTCTTTCGACAACCGTAGGAAGACTAGGGGTGAGGATAAATGTGAAATATATCATACTTTATTCACCTTTTGTATCATAGGCCGTAACCTTTCCAGCTCCTTATTAGTCTTGCTATCTTCAATCTGCAGGTGCTTAGAACACAACCAGCTGTAATTGTTGGTACAATGCTGCAAGGTTATTTCTCGAACTTTAGATTCCTTTAGCAGCATTTCTGCCTGAAATCCGAGGTGTATTAAACTTAGAGTAGGTACCTACTAATTATGTTTAGTGTCGTTGTCATTCTATAGGTAGTTGGACAAGCACGTCTCACAGCGGCCTCTATAACCTGGCGCCCTAATCACTTGTCTAAATTGCCTTTTTTTTAAGGGGGGAAAATCATCGAACTGCCCCCGCCTGGGTGAGGCGGGAGGGAGTGTCAGACTCTTACTGACTAAAAACCACCCCGTTGCTTCTCCTGCACGTCGAGCCGGAGCCCCGGTTGCCCGTTAGGTTCTCCGCGACTGCCTTAGGGATAATACAGCTCTGTCTGAAATACATTACGTCATATGTCTAAACTTCTTTGAAGGGATACGCAGAGGACCAGGACTTTAAAATAATGTAATACCTACATATTTTACAAACATCACATCAACAGCCTGTAAATTCCCACTGCCGAGCAAAGTTTCTTCTGACACGAAGAAGGTTTGACCATTAATCATCACGATTGCTCAATGTAGGTTGACGATTATATAGTTATATGTACTTTCTAAGATTATTAGGACACCACTGACAAACGGTGAAGAAAAACATCGTGAGGAAACTTGGGCTTATAACTAATTACAAGTTTGAAATTGCCAACAATTAGTAAGCGTGGTGATTAATGCTCAAAACCTTCTCCCTATGAGAGGAGGCTTTGCTCAGCAGTGGGCACTTATAGGCTGTTGATGATGATGATAAATAAAAGAATTACTTACATATTGAAATAAATCCTTTGGAGAAAAATTATTCTCTGCGCTGACCATTTTTTTCTATAGTCAGTCAGCTTTCGTAACTAACTTCACGCAGGTTCAATGAGGACTATCAGTAAATCCTACAATATTGTATCATCAAATGACATTGACCTTATAATATCGAAATATTTATTGGCCACACTTCACCAGGGCCGCAATTGGAACTTGTATCACCAGACTTTATTATTGGACTTTTACATTGTCGTGTTGGACACGAAATAGCACGGCTTTAACAGTCGAGAGCCATGGATCCATATAAGTTTGGAATTATGTCTAAATGTTAATGGGTCCCAACAGTAAAAGGAGTGAATTAAATATGGGAGAGCCATGCCTACGCACGAATGGGCCGGTTCGACCTGAGTGATACAACGGCCTCACAAATGACTGACGTGAAACAACGCTTGCGTTTACCCCTCCCCCCTTTCCCAATCCCTAATACCTTAAGGCTCTGACTGCCAATAAAAAACTGTTGAAGGCAAATCCTCCGCTAATGTCGGTCACCGGTGACTGCCACTGGCGTTTAACGTGTTAACAATCCTCAAATTCCTAATCTCAAAACACTAGTAACGCACTTGAACTCCTCTGGTGTTCCATGTATCCATGGGCGACGCCGATTGCTTACCATCAGGTGAACCGTGTGCTCGTTTATCGGCTTATCGAATATAAAAGGTACACATTTCGCGTTATTTCTTTCTTTATTTCTTTTCAACCGAACGGTTTTGGAATTTTCAGTTTTTATTAGGGTAAAGTTACTTTTCGCTGTCGTCGATCTTATTCATTTTTTTTTTGTGTAAATGACAATGTCTAAGGTAAGTTATCTCTGTAGGTACCAAATTTGGTAAGGCAAATTAGGTATTAACTGACCTAAATACGTCTCTGTCCAAAACTGATTAATCAGTTTATCAGAGATAGTTCCAATAAAATATACATACACGAATATTATCTACATTTAATTAAAATGAGGAAGCCTTAATAAATCATTTTTATCTATCCACTTCATTTGTTTTGATTCTATTTCGTATTACCTACTTTATTTATTACTAGTTTCTGCCCGCGACTTCGTACGCGCAATCCCGTTTCCTCCCGTTCCCATAAGATTTTCAGGATTTTTTTTTTTCATAAGAAACTTCTCCTGACAATAACAAACACAACGAAAATAAATCAGCCAAATCGGTCCAACCATTCTCAAGTTATGGCGTTAGAAACGTTATGAGTGTGAGAGAGCCATGCTTTGGCACGATTGGGCCGGCTCGACCGGAGTGATAGCACGGCCTCACAGAAAACCGACGTGAAGCAACGCTTGCGTTGTGTTTCGTCGTGTGAGTGAGGTTACCGGAGGCCCATAATCTCCCCAATCCCTGAATGCCCAACGATCCTCAAACTCACAATCCCCAAAAAGCCGGTGACGCACTTGCAACGCCTCTGGCGTTCCAGGTGTCTATAGGCGTTTACCGGCTTATTTTTATATATATGGATTGACTAGCTGCTGCCCGCGACGTCGTCCGCGTACAATATGATTCCTGTTTTATCTCATGGAAGCATTTAATCGGGATAAAAATCCTATCACCTAAGTCAGCCCGTACCCTGCCTGAATGCCAAATTTTAACAAAATCCGATCAGTAGTTTCAGCGTGATTGACGGACAAACATACAAACAAAGAAAATTGTAGAATTATAATATTAATGTGATCTGATAGAAAGGGTTTTAATTAAATTTAATCTAAATTGAATTAAATGAATCATCACCAATCTAAAGACGAACCGTTAACAAATACCTACCTTACTGAATTGTAGCTAACTGGGTTAACCTCTTGACTGCCTCGCTGGCCGAGTGGTCGCAAGTACGACTGCCGGGCAAGGGGTTTCGGGTTCGATTCCCGGGTCGGGCAAAGTATTACTGGGTTTTTAAAAATCTCAGTAGTAGCACGGAGTCCGGTATATGGCAATAAGTTCACCCTCCATAACATGGGACTCATAACATAAATAGTGAAAAGTGGGTGTTACATTGTACAGTGGCATCAAGTGCTGAAATGTGCACCTCTGCCTACCCCTTCGGGGATAAAAGGCGTGATGTTATGTTGTTGTTGTTGGGTGAACCTCCTCTAAATAACCCTTAAGAGGGGGTTAGCCACAATCCCCATGGTTGGTAGGTTTGGTAGTGAGCGCATTTAGGTTACCGAAACTTTAAAGGACTACTGGTACTGCCCGCCTATGTATGACAAAATTACATAAAAACAGCGTCACTCGAAGTATTGTTCAAGGCAGCCAACGAGCAGCGTATTCACCAGATGTAAATGTACCGTAAAACGGGATAAATAGAATTCGAGGGGTGAATAGATACAGGAATGGGGTGAATAAATGTTAGAGTATTTTCCCAACATTAATTTATTCACCCCTCTTCTATATCTATTCACCCCGTTTTACCTGAATCAGAAATAAAGAACAACCTCTTTCTTCTATAATGAGGTAACAACTCAACTTCTAAAACCAAACTCCTTCTAACAAAGAAGTTTAGTCGTGTCATGGATACGTGACAGACATCAATCAAAATGTCACATACAAATATTCGTCCATGAAAAATTACAATAAAATAACAAAATATCCATAAAAACGGTGCAAGACCATGGCAAGGACCTTAATAGAGCACAAATAATGCAACGAAAATCACCGAAATGTTCCGGTTTTTGAGCAATTCAGGATCTAAAGCTAATAAAAATACGGACAGAAAAAAATCCAATGAAGATGATTACTTTAGTTTAGCCCTTAAATGCATAGCAAAAAGGTTCACAGTCTGTTTAAAATCCGTCTGCTGTTTTCCTTTAGAAAAAATGGTCCCGATTTCGAAAAGGCGTAAACTCATTGTTGCACAATCGTCTCAAATATCCGGCTTAAAAGACCCAGAGGCCAAAATACAAGTCATTCCACAATCAACGATGACCATAAATGAATCAACGAGATCTAGAAGTGACTTCACAACTCGCAAGTCAAGTAAGAAATTCAGGTGTAAAAAGTTAAGATGTAAAATGTTTGAGAGCATTAAGAAAATGAATGGCGCATCAGGCTCGACCATGATGAAAAGTTCAATAAGATGCAACGCTAATACAAGCAAAAAAAAAATGTCGAAACCTAGTATCCGAAGTGAAAAAAAATGGAGGAAGATTATAAGAAAAACGAATCCGAGCCAGTTGAAATGGATTAAGAACGAGACAAAAGCGCGCCAAAATTTGACAGGTTCGTGCACAGACAATGAAGAATCTGCCGGCGACGGTCCAGTATCGCCGAATATTTCGCGCTATTTCAAAAAGTGTCCGTTACGATGGATGGCCGTGAAGCAAAAAAATTACAGCGATACTATTGTAAATTGTACGAACGATGATTCCGTGGAGGCTTGAGATTGAGACATACGCGATCCATTGAAATAATTCTAATTGGTTTTGTATCTGTACTAGTTTTCGTTAAATAAATCATTATTCTCACCCATACGATCTGCCTTTCTGGTAAAGTGTTATTTTTTGTGGTCTCCAGGTGTCATTAATGTAGTGTGAGGCCCTCTGCGTCAAAATGCTCCTTAGATTCACGCTTGCGAAGAAAGTACTCCGGTGAAAAGCAGGTTAAAAAAATAATACAAACAAAATAATTGAAACCTTTTTATTCAAGTATCCAAAAATAAAATTAAAAAAGTGCGATGGCATTTTGCAACACAATAATTGAATAAATAAATACTTTGCAACGTTCGTTAGGAATTCAATTAAAAATATGCCAACGATAACATTTGGACAAGCTCAAGTTCGCTACCATCATTTGACTGGACAATCTCTTTACATGAGAACATTAGCTCATGACGATACCTACATAAGTGCGTATTGCTTGGACAGGCAGCCTTGCAAATCAGTTGACTGAAGAATCCTAACTACTAGAAAATCGCTCCATTTATTTTTTGTTACCATTGACATAATTCTAATAAACGGAAGACATATTAAATTATGTTTAATGGCTTACTCACGTAACTGCCTGACGAGTTAAGTCGACTAATTTCAAGCTTCGCTTGGGGCCCACAGTCACGAGCAGCATTACTCTACGGCGAACGTCGCACAGCCAACACAGTTGTACAATTATTATATGGATCAGTTTTTAGGAACTACATATTTAAAACATGATTTTATGTCATAACATAACACAATAATATATGTATTTAAATTAATAAGGAACCTGTTTATTTGTATATTTCGTTATTACATTATTTTGGTTATTATTATCACAGAAAGCAAAAATAAAAGAAAATATCACAATCAGTATAAAGGTGCTGATGTATGTGACCAGTCACTTGTGATGAGCATATATTCTACAGAATTTTTTTATTTATTATTTATGGACACACATACAACACAGAGGACAATACATATATAAAAACAGAGTACATAGGCCCCACATATTCCAACTGGAATTTCTTCCTGTGGGCCTGTGGCAGGAAAAGAAATTATGACACCCAGACACATAGTGTGTTACACAAATGAGATAAAAATCAATTTAATAAAGATATAATACCCAAGAAACCAAAAGAAATAACAATAATGATCAATAAAACAAATTAATGAAGAATGTTACATTATAGAAAATATGATTTAATGGAGAGAATGCCATATGGCATTAATGTCCGCCTTATGTACCATTACTTGTTTCTGTATACATTAAAGTTTAAATATATAACTAATAACCTTAAATATATAATAAATTTAAATATATAAATAATAACCTATGGAGTTTCTTGCGCGTTCTTCTCCATAGGAATCTACACCTTGGAATGAGCAAATAGCTTCGCTTTTTATTTATTTATTTTTTTGATGTTCAAAAGTGCCATTCTGGCCTAATTGAAATAAATGATTGTGACTTTGACTTTGAATAAATAAATAAATTTAAACTTTTAGTTACAGTACGGTTTCAATGAGCTCTAATGGCCATAACGGAGGTTGTGAAAGAAGATAGATGATATTGATTCGATCTGTGATCAAGAAGGGGGTAAAATTCAAGTCGGGTACTTGCCAACTAGTCAAATTCAATACTTTTTTCGAACTGTCAAAAACGACAGTTTACTATCAATTTTGTACGAGATTGTGTATTGTGACGTCACGGTTTTTAGCGTCAAACAGCAGACTACTTATTTGTTAAACAATTACTGGAAAAATACTAAAATTAAGTCGATCATAAAATCAATCCGATCAACCGATATAGGTATATATTGTGTAATTTCGTACTCTTGAGTTGCAACACTAGCGCCCATTGCATCCTTATTGCGTGGATATTGAATGTACTAAATATCAAATTTGGATTTATATTCCGTACTCTGAATGCTATTTTAACAGCTACGATTGAGGTTGTATAATGTTGACATTGAATAATTATTGATATTGTATTAGATTGACATTAAGATTGGTTTCAAGAGTAAGCTGTGGTCTATCAGCACCTTTTTGTACAACTATTTACAACAATCTGTACTCGGAACAACATCGAAACTAATAATAAAAGACAAATACAACTAAATGTTGAACGCAAAAACCGTTTATAATAAGTTCTTAATTAACTTGCAATGTTATAAACAAATACACGGCCACACATCAATCTATACAAAACCAGTTTATCCTGGTGTCGCGTCGCATAGGCTTGTATAGTTCGCGAACGAACTAGTTCAAAAGAGCGCTCCCACATTCAAAATATGCGAACTAGTTCACGTCATTCCCAACTCCTTAGTTCCTTAGTTACTTAGTTCGTATTTCAAAGTACAAGTACAAGGATTGTGAAGTCGTTTATATGTATAGTCTATGGTGAAGACCGAACTAAAAAATGCGATAACATATGATCTCACTTGAAAAGTCATGAGCTGAGTCGGGAGCTGACGAACTAGGGAGCGATTTGGCTGCCAGTGCCTTCCTAGTTCCTATCCGATTCATTCCAATTCCAAATCGAACTGGGAGTCGGGAGTTGACGAACTAGGGAGCGATTTGGCTGCCAGTGCCTTCCTAGTTCCTATACGATTCATTCCAACTCCAACTGCGAGTCGGGAGCTGACGAACTAAAAGAGCGAACTAGTTCGTTTAGGAGCGGCGAACTGTTCTGAGTGATCTTAGTCGCGAACTATTAAGCACAAGACTAGCGTCGCATCATCTTTCCGTACATTTAACGTTCAGTTTATACTGGTTATGTGAAGCTCGATGTATAGCCGTGTTTACGTGTGTGAAGTAGAATCTTGCAACTAAAGGATGACGGACAGATATGTATGAGAAATATATCTACCGACCTGTAACCTACAGACGTATGTCGTTAGAAAGCTCTATTCATGACTATCATTTGTATTTTCTATACAATACATATAATAAAATCGTAGTAAAGTGAAAACTGTACATCGAATATTTTTTTAAAAGAATGCTTTGGACTTGATCTATAGTCTACCGAAACAAAAAATATGGTTTTTAGAATTTTTGTCTGTTTGTGTGTATGCATGTATGTCCGGGATGAACTCAAAAAGTACTATATGGATTTACTTCAAATTTTGCATGAATATTACTAACAAGTCGGGTCAACATATAGGCTACATATTATCATGCTATCAACAACGGGAGAGGAGCTGTGAATCACTATTCCACGCGAACGAAGTCGCTGGCTCAAATATTTTAATAAAACATAACATAATAACATTTTCCCCACAACGAATTGAGACTAGCCCCCATAATAACGCGTCTCAAAGAACCACCACAGATGGGGCTGATGCCGACACGGACTCGCGGAGGACTTAACGGGTTGCAACAGCTCCGGCTCCAAGTGCAAGAGTAAGAACGGGGTGGTTTTTAGTCAGCAAGAGTCTGACACTCAACTCACCCAGACGGGAGAAGTCATTTGATGATTTTCCCCCTTAAAAAAGCCCCCATAATAACAAATGATAGTAATGAGAAGAGCTTTCTAACGACACCTTTATTGGTCGGTAGGTACATTTTGTTCATCATCATTTTGAAGCATACATCTTCAACCGATTGAGCTAAAATTTTATATACACGTTTAGTTTGCATGATAATAAATGCTAAGCTGCATAAAGGCTTGATTTAAAAAAATTATTTAACTAAACTTGCATTGGATTAAATTATTGTTTAACAGCCGAAATGAATAGATAACAATCCAAAATGTTTGAATAACACCTGGACCTATGTTTACCACAAAAAGATTATACAAATATTAATATAATATGTCGAAATCGATGTCAATCCAAAGATTAAGGAATGCAATCAATTCATTTTGGGTGTTTAACAGTCAGATCTAATATTATATTATTATCTAATGTTAGTCTATTTAGGTTACGAAATTTAAATTACGAAATAAGTTAGGCTCTAGACAGACGGACCGCATTTCAACCATAAATTGCAGTCCGATTGCAGTTCTATTGCAGTCATGACCAAACGATTGTAAAACAAACGAGCAGTCCGATTGCAGTTCTATTGCAGTCATGACCAAACGGTTGCAAACCAAACGAGTTGTCCGATTGCAGTTCTATTGCAGTCATTACCAAACGGTTGCAAACCAAACGAGTTGTCCGATTGCAGTTCTATTGCAGTCGTGATTGTCGTGACTAAACGGTTGCAAACCAAACGAGCAGTCCGATTGCAGTTCTATTGCAGTCGTGTCAACTGCGTTTAAACTGCACCCGAATTGCAATTTGCAGTTGGATTGCAGTTGAAATGCGGTGTCTTAGAGCTTAAATTACAACTCAGCATAATTGTTTTTATAATAACGATCGATTGACATACTAAATTAAGTATAAGTAACGATTGACTCACGTAAATATTATGTTATAGCTAGGTAAGGTAGGCCACGCGACGTCGCCGCGCGCTGGTGATAAAGAAGAGTCCCCTCTATGACTCGAAACTTGTTAAGATTATCTAAGTATATTTACGTGAGTAAGCCGTTATTTATATTTAATTTAACTTTATTATATTATATGGCCACTAGATGGCTCTGGTGAACGGATTTTTTTTAAATTACGCATATTGGTGACAAGCTATAGTCTGAGTATACAATAAAAAGGTGGTCATTGTGTCCTATCCTCTTCTGTCCTTTACTCTATTACATCTTTAACTTTATTGTACTGCCATAAAGTCGAAAATCAATTGCATTTTGACATATTGGAGTAGGTTGCTGATATCTGCTGGTTAGTGCTGGTACATATTTGAACTATGAAAAAATAAATAAAAAATACTCAAAGTTGTACATGTGTGGTGTGTGTGTGTGTGTGTGTGTGAGGGTGTGTGAGTGTGTGTGTGTACAACACACGTTAGTGTGTGTGTCTTAGTGTGAGTGTGTGTGTGTGGCTAACTTGTAAGTAAATTATGTTCAATGGGGTTGATGTTGAGGTATAAAAATTAATAATCTAATTAGTCCGTCAGTTAGGTAATGAAAAAATATTAGACACGTATTTTTTTATTTTGTCGTATAAGACAACAATACTTTGATAAAACGAATCAGATTTCAGAGCCAGCTACGTCATTTCTACGTATAAAACGTACATAGAAGTGACGTCACGCGATATTTCAAATCAATATGGCGTCGAAGATATTCGTTTCTGTAAGAAAACAATAAATACGTGTCTGATGTTTTAAAATAATCTACCAGATGGACATTTAAATAAAATTAATCATCTACCCTATTGTACTACTTGTGCATTTTAATTTGGGGGTCTAAAATATGCCTACTAGGGGTCATATGACCCCAATTTCGTGTCATTGCATATCTTCTTAGAATTATAGCAAGTGCAGCATCACTTTTGAATTTTAATCATCATCATTTGAAATAATGAATCATCATCAACAGCCTAGTTCCCACTGCTGGCCGAAGGCCTCTTTCAGGGATGGAATGAGCATTAATCACCACGTTTGCTGAAGACGGATTGGCGATTTAAATTATAATTCTAATGCCGGTATTCACCAACCTCTCCTAAATATTAAAGCACCCCTACGGTGTGTGTGATACTAAACGACATTTTAGTGTTCGCCAATCTATAAGAGATACCTAATAATACAAGTAAGAGGTTAAGTTAAGGTGCTCCGCCTCGCAAAGGCAAAGTAGCTCTTAGTTAAGGGATGAATTAGGGGTAGTTGGTGAAAACGGGCACAGGTATGAAGTTACACAATTTCCTCAATATACAGAAAATAACTATTATATTTAAAACAGTGGATTATGACCCCAACAAAATTAACTATTGACCCCCCTCGGGTCAAATGACCCCAAAAAGACAAACCAATAAATAAAATCCAGTTTTTTAATCTTTTTTAGTCTTAGATCCCTGAAAAGGCCACATAGCCGTGGCTGGAGTTACTCTTAATAACAACATGGGTTTTATGGCCGACAGTACGAAAAGAGACGCGTAAAATTTCATGGCGTCCGACTTGCAAATATTATCTTGTATATGTTGGAAACCTACTAGCATAGTTATTGTTGTAAAAGCCGATATTACTAGAGACCTATTTTTTGTGTAATGTCTGTACCTGGAACAAATAAAGAATTGTAAGAGACCTATTGATTTCTGTGAAAAGCCTTCTTAGGCTAAGGACACACGGCGCGTATTTCTCCCGTAATCTCAAATCGTACTAAGCCCGCGTATTTATAGACAAATAAAAGTCATTATTTCAGCAAAAGTAACTGCTTAAAGTAACAATTTTCATTTTATAGTTTTAGAAATTGCTTGATAACTGTCAAACGTAAGCAATAAGAAGAGCGAATTTTTCTCTCGCGTAGTATTACATTGTTCGTCATATAAGTACACGAGAACGTTTTCGGAATTACTTAAAGAAAGATACCTTCAAGACAACAGCTTGCTAAAAAGTCTACTTAAAGCCAAAATTAAATTATAAGTTTAGATTTTGGTTTTTTTCAAATTCATTGGAGAATAATTACGTTGAAGAAAATATCGATCTGTATTTAACAATTTACGAAATTCTCGGTGCTTCGGAGCTCGAATTTAATATTGTGGGTTTTTAGCTGCGCCTTTATTTATTTTTTTCAATCACACTTTGGTCGCCATTACACGAATATTCTCCTGTGTCGTGTGTGCGTTTACAAACATACAAGTTCACATACATATGACGCCCAGACCCGGAACAACAATCTGTGGATCACACAAAGAGCTGTTCCGTGCAGGAATTCAACCCACGATGCGATGAATGGCAGCCAGTTGCCCAGACACCGCGCTCATCGAGCAGTAAAAGTCAATATTGTTAAGTCAAATATCGCACTTACTCAGCCACAGCAGGTGTAACACAGAGCGCCCATCCAAGTAAGCTCCCCGTCGCATGTACTAGTGCGTATAATGGAGTCGTCGACACTCTGATAGATTCCGGATTCTCACACCAACGAAACGCCTGTAAAATAAAGAAATAAAACATTCAACATTAATTTGTAGTACAAAACCGACTTTGAAAACTTAAAACAAACGAAAAGTAAAAGCTAAAAAGCAAAAAACAACTATTATTGATCATACGTCATTATCATCATCATCATCAACAGCCTATAAATGCCCACTGCTGAGCAAAGCCTCTTCTCACCCGAAGAAGGTAGGTTTCGAACCCGCATGAGGGTTCATGCACGAGAAGCGGGCGTCTTAAACCTCCGGGCCACCACGACTATTCTTGATCATACGTGCTTATAACTTACACACCCACTGATAGGATAGAAGTCGGTGCCACAAGTTTTAAACAAAAATAATTCAATAAAACCTTAATAGATACCTAACATTATTAAGCTGTTTACAATTTTATTATGGATTATACCTGTGACCATTTCCTAAGTTATATTTTGTTATGGGTTTGTGGCACCGACTTCTAACCTATTAGTGGGTATGTAAGCTTTAAGTACGTATGGCCAATAATAGTTATTTTTTGCTTTTTAGTATTTAGCGTTTGTTTTTAATTTTTGAAGTAAATTTTTTAAACGCAGTTTTTTAATTTATTTTATACTTTTTAGTTTCATACAAGAATATATTATATTATGTACAACCCACATCGTTGCAAAGTTTTCATCAATACATATTATTCAAGCTCAAACACCAGGTAGCTACTGTTAACTATTGAGGAGTTCTCTTAGCTATCATACTACTTCATCATTGGACTTTTAATGACAATCACAGCCCATCTAGGTGTAAAGTTCTCATCATACAAATTATCAAACCCAAACACAAGGTAGGTCAGTACCAGTCAGATAGATGAGGGAACTCCTCAGCGCTTACACTGGTAAGCGTATCGTACTACTTTATCATCATACTCTTATTGACAACCACACCACACCTAGGCGTATAGTCCTCATCAATACAAATTAATCAAACCCAAACACAAGGTAGCTACTATTAACCATTGAGGACTTCCCTCGACTGGCTCTCGGCTCCATCATCAGATCGACTCCATACCTTTATCAGATTGTAGTGGTTTTAATACTTATTGAAAAAATTAACAAATGCACTAGTCGCCCCTATAATTTTTAAATGTTCGCCTCGGTTCCCCTAGGATTTCATTTTCAGATCCTGACTTGATGACAATGGGACCAAATGACAAGCCTACCCTTTGAAATAAATTTTGCAATCGGTCCAGGCGTCTTCGAGTAATCGAGTAACAAATTTTAAGCCCAATTATCCTCCCCTTCCCCAGTCTCCCCAATTCCTGGATCCCCTAACGAACCTCAAACTCCTAATCCCCAAAAGGCCGGTAACGTACTTGTAACGCCTCTGGTGTTCCAGGTGTCCATGGGCGCGCCGATTGCTTACCATCAGGTGATCCGTCTGCTCGTTTATCGGCTTATGACATAAAAAAAAGTCGGTTGAAAAAATGATTTCCATTTACATAGTTAATAATATAAACTTAATAATTATAATCTTATTATTTTACTATTCTTGATTATGCTTCGTTTACATACCGCATAAAACGGCCATATACAATCAATCGGGGCTAATGACCCCAAAAGCTACGTAAAAATGGGGTCATTAGACCCTCACTTACCAACTTCACAGTCCATTGTGGGTCTAAACCGCACCATAATAAACTTAGATACGTGAGTCCAGCTACTATAATTGTTGTTACAGCGCCTAATATGTGCCACGCTACCGCTCGTCTAGTTTCATACGTCGCATGGATCCCATACCTCCATATGAAGGGGTCTGAGATGTAAATACAGAGAGCTGGCGCTACGAAGGCACCTGTAAAGATAGATGTTTGTGTTTCATAAAACATGTATTTTATATATAACTAGCTACTTCCGCGCGGTTTCACACGCTCTGCTCAGCTCCTATTGGTCGTAGCGTGATGTTTTATAGCCTATAGCCATCCTCGATAAATGCACTATCCAACACAAAAATAATTATTCAAATCAGACTTGTAGTTACGGAGATTAGCGCGTTCTAACAAAAAAACAAAATCTTCCGCTTTATATAATAGTATTAGCTGACCCAACAGACGTTGTCCTGCATATCCACTTGAATGTATAAACAAAAATTCATTCAAATTAGTTCAGCCGTTTAGGATAAATAACCTAAACATCGACTGCAGCGCCATCTGCCGGGCTGATTTGTGAATCTAAACCATTCCCACATCCCCTTGAACACACACAAAAAATTTCATCAAAATCGGTCCAGTCGTTTGACAGAAGTTCAGTGACATACACACTCACAGAAGAATTATATATATAAAGATAAGATAAGAAATCAACAACCTCTCATAAAGAAGGAACCTCCTAAGCTGAGAAACATTTTTGTTCTCAACAACCTGTAAGTGACACCTTACAGGACAAAGTTAGTTTAGGTGTTACGTCAAGGACTGTCTAGGCTTTTTTTTAAGGGGGGAAAATCATCGAATGTCTGCTGCCGCCTGAGTGAGGCGGGAGGGAGTGTCAGACTCTTACTGACTAAAAACCACCCCGTTCCTTCTTCTGCACGTCGAGCCGGAGCCCCGGTTACCCGTTAGGTTCTCCGCGACTCTTAGGTTCTCCGCAGGCTTAAGGGAGATACATATCTCCCTTGTGATGTGCCGTCACAGGCGTTTCAACGGGGTGTTCTAGAGCAGGTCTATTATATGTAGAGGACTCGGTGCCCCCCATAGGTGATGATGGTGGCCACCGGGGTGGTTTTAGTGAGGTAAGAATCCCACACTTCCTAGTTTTCTAACCCCAAAAAAGTTGTCGCGGAGAACCTAACGGGTAACCGAGGCTCTGGCTCGAAGTGCAGGAGAAGTAACGGGGTGGTTTTTAGTCAGTAAGGGTCTGACACTCCCTCCCGCCTCACCCAGGCGGGAGAAGTCATTCGATGATTTTCCCCTCACTCACACGACGAAACACAACGCAAGCGTTGCTTCACGTCGGTTTTCTGCTCGGCCGTGGTATCACTCCGGTCGAGCCGACCCATTCGTGCCGAAGCATGGCTCTCCCACATTTCTAAAAGTATTCTAAACATTTCCTAATGCATTGTCAAGTTCCCCTGTATTTCCTGTGTCCATGGGTGGCGCCTATTGCTGACCATTAGGTAGTCATCGAATGACGCACTATGCCATTTTTTTATGGAATAGGAGGCAATCGAGCATGCGGATCACCTGATGGTAAGCAATCAGCGTCGCCTATGGACACCCGCAATACCAGAGGCGTCACAGGTGTGTTGCCGGCCTGTTGGATTTTTTTTTTAAGGGGGGAAAATCATCGAATGACTGCTCCCGCCTGGGTAAGGCGGGAGGGAGTGTCAGACTCTTACTGACGAAAAACTACCCCATTCCTTCTCCTGCACTTCGAGCCGGAGCCCCGGTAACCCGTTAGGTTCTCCGCGACTCCGAATCGGCAACAGCCCTGTTAGGCCCCATCTGTGGTGGTCTGATGGGTCTTTTTCTCTTCTTTCTTCGCGCGCGGATTGCGATGCGCCGTACGCTCGGGTCTGTTTCTGGTCGGACGAGCGAATAAATAATAGCATAAAAATTTGGACGAGGTCGGGTTTAAGTTTAAAGCATGTACTACTGGTGTGGCTTCGCCTCATATCTCGCTTTCGCACGTAACAAACATACATAGTACATCCATCCATACATCCCCACAAACTTTCGCATTTATAATATTAGTGGAATGGTAGGATTAATACTCGTTGGCCAAGTAGTCGCAAGGGGTTTCGGATTTGATTCCCAGGTCGGGCAAAGTGAGCCGCGGAAGACTTAACGGGTTGCCAGGGCTCCGGCTCGTAGTGCAGGAGAAGGAACGGGGTGGTTTTTAGTCAGTAAGGGTCTGACACTCCCTCCCGCCACACCCAGGCGGGAGCAGACATTCGATGATTTTCCCCCCTCAAAAAAAAAGGTCGGGCAAAGTACTACTCGGTTTAAAAAAAATCTGTAGTAGCACGGAGTCTGGAAATGTGCCCGGTATATGGCAATAGGCTCACCCCCTATTACATGGGACTCATAACATAAATAGTAAAAAAGTGGGTGTTTTGTACATTGTACAGTGGCATTAAGTGCTGTAAAGTGCACCTCTGCCTACCTCTTTGGGGGTAGAAGGCGTGATGTTATGTTATGTTAGGATTAATAGGATAACAAAAATCTCGCTTACCAACAAGTGCTCCTATAAGACACTGGTGTGGGAAATGAGTGGCGATGAAGATGCGCGCCAGTATCACGGAGATGAGCGCCAGGCCGCAGAATGGATACATGACAGATTTCCACCACCAGAAGCACCATTGTTTACTAAAATAATCAAACAATAATTTACATAAAACCAACAAAAAACAATAATCAAACAATAATTTAAGTGTGGGAGAGCCATGCTTCGGCACGAATGGGCCGGCTCGACCGGAGTGATACCACGGCCGAGCAGAAAACCGACGTGAAGCAACGCTTGCGTTGTGTTTCGTCGTGTGAGTGAGGTTACCGGAGGCCCAATTACCCTCCCCTTCCCCAATCTCCCCAATCCCTGAATCCCCAATGATTCTCAAACTCCTAATCCCTAAAAGGCCGGTAACGCACTTGTAACGCGTGAGTGAGGTTACAAGAGACCCACTTACGCCCCCCCCCCTTCCCAGTCTCCCCAATTCCTAAATCCTCCACAATCATTTTCTAAAGAGGTTGGCTGAATCATCGCGCTAACTATCCACTGTGTACTAGTAAGCAAGTATATATTTATATATTATGTATATATGTATGTATGTAGGCATATTGTACTCATGTGTAGGTATACATTATAATTAAATTTATTTATGTATGTATATCTCCGAAATATATTAGTTTATCTTTCATTGTTAAATAAAATCACTGCTTGCCTCTTGCACCTACCATTTACTCTTCTCTGCATCACCCAAAGGTCAGACTGGTGGAAAATGCCTGCGGCATTAAGTCCACCTTTTTGATGCAGCATTTTAAATAAATAAATAAATAAATAAAAATCCTCAAATTCCCAATTCCCAAAAGGCCGATAACGCACTTGTGACGCCTCTGGTGTTCCAGGTGTCTATGGGCGACGACGATTGCTTACCATTAGGTGATCCGTCTGCTCGTTGACCGAACTATGACATAATAAATAAAAAACTTTTTAAAAAACGTGCAACTTACTGTAATATACTATGTTAAATTGAAATATGAGAATAATAATAATAATCTTTATTGTACACCAATTTGAGATAGCAAGTAAATCGAGCTACAAATTAGAGAAAATAAGGCGTTAAGGCGGCTTTTAGCGATAAGGCCTATCGCTAAAAGCGATATCTACCAGGCAACCTTTAGGCAGAATATGGGATGAATGTGTGTTAAGTCTGTGCAAGTGTTTATTAGTGTGTATTTGTTGTGTATTTGTTGTGTGTAGTAGAATGACCTCAAACAAACGTACAGGGTGCTTACTCTTGAAACCAATCTCAATGTCAATGCAATTTCAATCCAATAAAATCTCAATAATGATTCAATGTCCAAACTATACAACACCTATCGTAGCTGTTAAAGTAGCATTCAGAGTACGGAATATACAGCCAAACTGAATACCATTTAGTTCATTCAATATCCACGCAATACGGATGCAATGGGCGCTAGTGTTGCAACTCAAGAGTACGAAATTTCACAATACCAATGTCGATCGATCGGAATTGGATTCAAGAGTAAGCCAGGTCAACCTGAGAACCTCCGTTATTTAAAGTCGGAAAAAAAGGACTTACCGATCATACATCACATGAGATAGCCACATGAGAACCAGTATAAGGATCATGGCTGCCGTACTAGTATGTCCCGAGGGACTGCCCGGGCCAGTCTCACAAGTCTGCAACGTCTGTCTAAGCACCGGTCTACTGGATGACGGATAAAATGTGGTCTCTCTGACCCACCAGTACGGCCTGTCTTCTAGGAACCACCTGGAAATATTATAGAAATAGTGATTAATTTTATTTATAAGTAATAGTTTTCGACGTATAAAATAGACTTTTTTTTAAAAGAGTAACGAATGGAGTTTCTTGCTCGTTCTTCTCCACTCGAATCGACATTTTGGAACGAGCGCCTAGCTTCACTGACGGACAGACTGACAGACTATTATTTATTTCATATTCGTTGACGTTTCAAAAGTACCAAATTATGGTTTAATTGAAATAAATGCTTTTGAGTTTGAGTTTATACTCTCATTGACCTTCGGGCGTCGGAGATCGCGCGACAATCTCTGAGGTCGTAAGTGCGGGTCTGCGGACGGCGAACTAGGGTAGGTCGCCGCCCGACCAGAACCAGACCCGTGCGCACTGCGCGTCGCGTTCCGCGCGCGCCTCAATGAACTATCAGACCACCAATGAGACCCAGTAGGGCTGATGCCCGATACGGAGCCGCGGAAGACCTAACGGGTTGCCAGAGCCGCCAGTAGGAACGGGGTGGTTTTAAGTCAGTAAGAGCCTGACACTCCCTCTCGCCTAATCCAAGGCGGAGAAGTCATTGGATGATTTTCCCCCGTCAAAAAAAGAAAGGGTATGTGCGACAGTCGACGCGTAGTGTGTACCGGAATACTGCTCATGAATATGAGCCTCTAACAAGGTTAGAAACTAGTCGACTTTTTCATCATACAGCTAATACCGTAATCCGAAAAAATAATATTTATTTATTTATTTTTTTTAAAACGTTGCCCCACACTAGGATTATCTCCCGTGTCGTGGGTGCGTTTACAAACATACAAGTTCACATACACATGACACCCAGACCCGAAACAACAATTTGTGGATCACACAAAGTGTTGTTCCGTGCGGGAATCGAACCCGCGGCACATTGCACAGCAGCCGGTTGCCCAGCCACCACACCAACCGTGCAGTCTATTAATAATAAGTAATTAATTAAGTAAATAATTTATTAGTTAATAATAAGTAATTTATTATATGTCATGAACATTATAGAGGTACTAGCGACCCGCCCCGGCTTCGCACGGGTGCAATATGTATATACATACAAACCTTCCTTAAGAATCACTCTATCTATTAAAAAAAACCGCATCAAAATCCGTTGCGTAGTTTTAAAGATCTAAGCATACATACGGACATACAGCGAAAGCGACTTTGTTTTATACTATGTATTGATTGATGATAATACAAAATGAACTTTATATTACTGCCTCATTGGCCGAGTGGTCGCAAGTACACTGCCAGGCTATTACTGGGTTTGTTAAGAAAACTCAGTAGTAGCACGGAGTCTGGAATTGTACCCGGTATATGGCAATAGGCTCATACCCTATTGGGTACATGGGAATAACATAAATAGTGAAAAGTGGGTGCTACATTGTACAGTGGCATTAAGTGCCTTAATGTGCAACCTGTGCCTACCCCTTCCGGGATAAAAGGCGCAGTCTTATGTTATGTAAATTTATATTACAGCCGAACACACAACACAAACAATATACATATAGATACATACCATTTCATTACAGCGTTCAGCCAGCCACCGAAAGCAAGGCACAGTAACAGTTGGGCAGCAAACACGGAGTCTATGATAGTCATCAGCGGAAACAAGATGTCTATCATATGCTCCGGATCAAACACCTTGTTCACCAACTCGAAGAATCCGTCATAGTCCGCCAACCTGAAGAGATAAAAATGGTACTTATTTATATTATGTATAAGTATTATTTGGCTAGTTTAGTTGGTTTAACCCTTTGAGTACCGTCATTATAGACACAATTAAAGAACAATAGATCACCAGTGTCCTCGCGGTGTTTGACAGTTTAAAATAAACTGTTTCAACTGCAATAAATAATTAAAAAATAATCATACTCTCATTCATTGATTTGACAGTCTACCTACTTTTGGATTTTTTATTAAAAATTATTTTTTAATAAAAAATTATTTAGATAAATTATTGTCTTGCGACACCTACATGTGTCATTACACCTGCATACTTGGCAGTCATGTAACTTTATACTCTTTTTACACAACCCATGGTGTGTAGTGTGTGGACGTCTTCTGGCTGTTGATAATGATGGTGGGTAGGAACACGAATCTTCGTGAGACAGTGTATTTTATATTGTATCTTATATACCATACAAGTGGTCAATTTTACGTAATGTAAACTAATTAATAGATTTTTGATATGTACTTAGATTTTTTATGAAATTTTTTTATTTTATGTTTTAACTCTTTGAGTACCGTCATTATAGACACAATAGGTTGCGGTTACCGGTGCCCTCGCGGTGTTTGACAGTTTAATTATAAGTAGATGTTGGTTTTGTTCAAAGTATATTATCAGAGCCTGTCTCGAATGCAGCTATTTTACTTTACAAAATAGTATATAAGGTCTTTAAGTCGGAATAGCGTTTAATTCATGTATTAGTTTATGATGGGGCTGGCGTGGTCGTATTGTTACCAAAAGCCCCTAAATATATAGCAGGTATTAAAAAAAAAATTATAAGTGTTTCTTAGTTTTTATTTTATTTTTCAATTGTCACAAATACTGATAAAAGTGTCATCGTTAGGCTACCGTGCATGTTGTGACACCTTAAAATGTTGTGCATTTAAAATTTATTACAATGTAAGTGCTTAGATATAAGACCTAATGTAGCAAATACTGGTTGTCCACATTATAAATCCTTACTGCCTCGTTGGCCGAGTGGTCGCAAGTGCGACTGCTGGGCAAGGGGTCGGCAAAGTATTACTAGGTTTTAAAAATCTCAGTAGTAGCACGGAGTCTGGAAATATGCCCGGTATATGGCAATAGGCTCACCCCCTATTACATGGGGCTCATAACATAAATAGTGAAAAGTGGGTGTTACATTGTACAGTGGCATTAAGTGCCGAAATGTGCACCTCCGCCGACCCCTTCGGGAATAAAAAGGCGTGATGTTATGTTATGTTATAAATCCTTACTAATATTATAAATCGGAAAGTGAGTTTGTTTGTTTGTTCCACTTTCACGCCGTAACTACTAAACCAATTGCTTTGAATTTTTGCAGATGTAAAGTTAGAAGTCCGGATTAAATAATAGGGTACTTTATATCCCAGAAAAAAATGATATTCCCGAGGGAAAACAAAAGTATTGGTATAGATGGCGCTGTGTGTATTGGTATATATCACAGGCTACTCTTTATCCTTTTGTGATGCGAGCGAAGCCGCGGGTAAAAGCTAGTAAATAAATAAATCATTAGCAGACAAACATGTAACCTGGAACTATGCCCAAAGAATAACCAAAAGCTTGCCAATTTATATGCAAATACCTACAGCTAATGTTACACAATTATCTGACGATAAGTTAAGTATGTACTGAATAGGTATATCTAAAAATAGTTCTAGTACCTGTATGTCTACTATAATTATTATAATGAATAAATAATTATAAAACTAAACATATTGCATAAACGAAATATTTTTTATGTTATTTGCTCAGTAAATGCAATTATTTTGTTGGTAATAAAACTATACCTAGATATAACTGGGAAAAGTAAATTAATAATGATAAATAAAGAATTATGAAACAAATATCGTCTACATAATACAAAGAGTTTCCAGCAATGACGTGTACCTATTTTAAATCGTTTTTAACCACGTGGGTTAATTAAAAATTAAAGAGTTGGATAAAATGTGCAAGTAAAGAACAATTAAAATAATGTACCTACCAGTATTGTATGACTTCTATGCAGGCGACACCAAAAGCGTATATTTGCTCCATCGTAGAACTTTGTAGTGTATTTTACAGTAACATTATAATATTAATACACTACGCCCGTCGTATACTTGCGCGATAATAATTATTGCCGATTTTTTAACCAAAACAAATCAATCCACGATCAATATTAATTTTGAAAATGAAACAAATGTCAATACTATGTCAACTCAATAGTCAATGTCGAATTTTGACGTCTTATTTTGAGATGTTTGAAAACACGTATAAAAATTTTGAATAAATATATACTAAATTTAATTTATAATTCAGTACCTTTGTACCTACTTCAATCATTTAATGTTGATGGGAGTATAATTTATAATAAAATAATTTAACCTTTGACATATAATTTTTAAATATCCAGTAGTAGTGTCATCTAGTAATATTCTTCAAAACCATTCTTGAAAGTATGGTTGTAGTTTCTTCTACTCGATAACAGATGGCGTGTTCTTGTTAAATAATGAAAAACTAATCAATGTAAATACGTTATTTAATAAATAGAAAATTGATAGAACTAGAATTCTGAACTGTTTACAACACATGACTGAACTCACACCTTCCTTCCATCGGGACAGGCTAGGTAGGAGATGAGTTTTGATTGGAAAAGTATTTTGTTCCTGAATGAAGAAGATGCTTTAAAACAAACAAACAAACAGGATATAATTTTAGAAAATTCTGAGAAAATTGAAAACCTAATAATAATTTTGTTACTGTGAAGACTTTTGGAAATTCAGGGATAATTTGGAGGAGTAAAATATTTTAACTTTCGTCAATGCAATTAACAAAACATTGTAAAAAATCAAGACAAGCAATACAAGGCAAGAAGAAAAACCTTTTCGTTAGGTAAGTATATTATTTTTTCGCAAATGCCGCCACAAATACATAACAACCCATGACTAAAATAAACAAACTAATTAATTTAAATCTTTCCCACAAACAATAAAGCAAAAAATTAATCCTGAAAACGTCTACACATAGTCAAAAAACAATTTGTTAGATTATCAAAAGGTTAACGCGTTGAAACGACGCTAGATGGCGCTGGCAGCTCGCTTGGGACGCGTATTAGTGTGTTAATAATTGAATATTATACTATGGTAGCGATACAGTGGGCAAGACAAGTTTGAAACGCCGTGAAATATTATTTTTGAGTAGATCAAGCAATAATAACATTTATTTTATAATAACTCCTACTTTTTTTCGTTTACCGTGTTACCATAGCTGTGGTTCGAAGTGTGGGAGAGCCATGCTTGGTCAAGAATGGCCGGCTCGACAGGAGTGATACCACGGCCTCACAGAAAACTGCCGTGAAATAACACTTGCGTTGTGTTTCGTCGTGTGAGTGAGGTTAACTGAGGTCCAATTTTCCCTACTCCCCAATCCCCGAATCCCTAACAATCCTCAAACTCCTAATCCTCAAAAGACCAGTAATGCACTTTTGTAACGCCTCTAGTGTTCTGGGTTTGTCGTGGAGAACCTAACGGGTAACCGGGGCTCCGGCTCGACGGACAGGAGAAGGAACGGGGTGATTTTTAGTCAGTAAGAGTCTGACAGTACCTCCCGCCTCATCCAGGCGGGAGCAGTCATTCGATGATTTTCCCCCCTTAAAAAAAAAGTGTTCTGGGCTTTCATGGGCACCGATTGCTTATCATCAGGTGATCTATATACTCGTTTAGTGGCTTATCCCATAAAAAAATCGTCAGCACACGGATAGACAAACATTAATATATGCTACCTACCTATTTACCTATTGTTACTACTTACCTCTAGTATTAATTTCCGCAAAAATCCTCTTTATGCAACACAGAATATTACCTAAAATGCGAATACAAGCACAATCTGTTGTCTACACTGTACGTCGATGTAAACTTCGCTCAGATTTGGCCAAATTTAATCTTAGCAGCGGCGGCGAGGTCCTGAGTTAAAGGAGACGGGAGATCCTGCGATATATCGCAAGGATATTCATTGACATAACCTTACTATTAATATTAAAAAAACGAGTCAAAAAAAGAGTAACGAATGGAGTTTCTTGCTCATTCTTCTCCATTCAAATTTACATTTTGGAACGAGCGCTTAGCTTAGTTATTGTTGACGTTTCAAAAGTAAATAAATAATGTTTTTTTCCTACTATAATCTGTCGCCTTCTTTAGTAAATTCAGCAGTATGTTGGACGTTACTGTAGTTAGCGTTTTCGGCATGTGACCTGTGCCACAACCTCTTCATAAATACAGTGCTTTTACTATGGCTGGATCACATCTTGTGGTATTCTACGCTTTAATCGACGCTTGGCTTTGTGTTCGTCCATTTTTTTATGGCGTAAGCCGGTATTTAAACGAGCAGACGGATCACCTGATGGTAAGCAATCGGCGTCGCCCATGGACACCTGGAACACCAGAGGCGTTACGAGTGCGTTACCGGCCTATTGGGGATTAGGAATTTGACGATCGTTGGGATTCAGGAATTGGGGAGGTTGGGGAAGGGGAGGGTAATTGGGCCTCCGGTAACCTCACTCACACGATGAAACACAACGCAAGCGTTGTTTGACGTCGGTTTTCTGTGAGGCCGTGGTATCACTCCGGTCGAGTCGGCCCATTCGTGTCGAAACATGGCTTTTCCACACTTGAAAAGTGATGGTTGATGGTTTAATTGAAATAAATGCTTTGACTCTGCGAGATTTTGTAAGTTTGTGTTCTTGTGTCTATGTGTATGTTTGTTACACAATCACGTGAAAACGGCTGAAGGGATCGGGGTGTCAATTTGGAACAGGTATAGATTATGATGTGTTTTACACACTTTTTTTTTAAGTGGTGATATCATTGAATGACTTCTCCCGCCTGGGTGAGGCAGGAAGGAGTATCAGACTTACTGACTAAAAACCACCCCGTTCCTTCTCCTGTACTTCAAGCCGGAGTGCCGGTATCCCGTTAAGTCCTCCGCGGCTTCGTATCAGCATCAGCCCTATTGGGCCCCATGCGTGGTGGGCGGATGGCTCTTTGAGTACGCACTTTTACACACTTAGGTACACGGGCGAAGCGACGCGACGGGCAGAAGCTAGTAGGTCGACAAACGACACAACGAGCCCGCGTTGATAGTTACAAAACGGCGCTTTCCTAAGAGGTCGTTGCATCACTCCGGTCAAGACAATTTCGCGGTGCCCAAATATTTTGGCTCTCCTATACTCAAGTAATTTTTTTACTTGAAGTTGAAATTGTAGCTTCGCCCACGTGAGAAGGTCATAACCACAGAAACAAATATTAGTTAATTCTTAACATAACATAACATCACGCCTTTTATCCCCGAAGGGGTAGGCAGAGGTGCACATTATACCACTGTATAAAGTAACACCCACTTTTCACTATTTATGTTATAAGTCCCATGTAATAGGGGGTAAGCCTATTGCCATATACCGGGCACAATTCCAGACTCCGTGCTACTACTGAGAATATTAAAAAACCCAGTAATACTTTGCCCGACCCGGAAATCGAACCCGAGACCCCTTGCCCGGCAGTCGCACTTACGACCACTCGGCCAACGAGGCAGTCGAGTAATTGATTCTTCTTTATTATATACCTATATTACTAGCGACCCGCCCCGGCTTCACATGGGTATAAACCTTCCTTAAGAATTACTCCATCTAATAAAAAACCGCATCAAAATGGGTTGCGTAGTTTTAAAGATCTAAGCATACCTACATAGGGACAGACAGACGGCGTATAGCGACTTTGTTTTGTTTTATACTATGTAGTAGTATATTATCTATGGAAAAATCGGCACATAAATTACTAACAATCTTCAGACATGTCCCTCAATACACAACATCGTTCGAACCGTCCACTCTCGTAAACGCGGTATGATCACGTAGAAATTATTGTGTTAAAATATAATCTCCTCTCCTCCCTCTTAGGGAGGGCTGAGGGAGGGAGGGGGCAGGTAAATTAACGTATATTCAAGGTATAAGCGGTGCAGTAGAGTTAGAGTTGGTGGACGTATAGACTTATGCGTATAAACGTTGATATTTAATAAAAATAAAAGCTTTTTCGAATTGTTTGTAAAATCATCATCATCATTGTCTGTCAGTCTGTAAATGAAGCTAGGCGCAACTAAATTGAAAGACTTAACCGGAAAATCCGGAGCTCTGGATAACCTAACGGGTTACCGGGGCTCTGGCTCGAAGTGCAGGAGTAGGAATAAGGCGGTTTTTAGTCAGTAAGAGTGCACTCTTTCTCGCGTCACCCAAGGCGTTAGAAGTCATTGGATGATTTTCCTCCTCAAAAAAATAATTTTGGAAAGACGGTTAAAAATGACTTTCGAGCCTGAGCCACCGTAACTAGTCAGGTTCTCCATGGCTCCGTATCAGCATCAGCCCTATTGAGCCCCATCCGTGGTGATCAGGGTGCTTACTCTTGAAACCAATCTCAATGTCAATTCAATTTCAATCCAATACAATCTCAATAATCATACAATGTCAAAACCACAATTGTAGCTGTTAAAACAGCATTCAGAGTACGGAATATAAAGCCAAACTCAATACCATTTAGTTCATTCAATATCCACGCAATACGGATGCAATGGGCGCTAGTGTTGCAACTCAAGAGTACGAAATTTCACAATACCAATGTCGATCGATCGGAATTGGATTCAAGAGTAAGCCTTCAGATGGCTCTTTGGGCACGCTGGTTCCAGTCTGGCGGCGAGCTTGACTTAGGTGATAGGATCTTTTTATCCCGATTAAAATATATTCCCGTGGGATGAAACAGGAATCATATTCTACCCGCCGAAGTCGCGGGAAAAAGCTAGTTATTAAATATAACTAAGAAAGCTTAGCTCGTTTAATTAAAACTCTAAAAGGCTAATTATAAAAAACCACTTAGTTACAACACATTATGGTCCCAAAGATTAATTTGTTCGGTTCGGAATTTCTTTGTGTAGTGTTGGGACGTCGTTGCAAAGGCGTGCGGTCTGTGTATATGTGAATGTATATTTATGTTAGGCGTTTAATTATTGAATCTTAATAAACACGTGTACATTTTTTGTATGTCAAAATTAAAGCATTTATTTCAATTGAACCATAGTTTGGTGCTTCTGAAACGTCGACAAATACAAAATAAATAATAGTCTGTCAGTCAGTCCGTCAGTGAAGCTAGGTGAA